TTTCGATTAGGCGGGGGCGGCGCTGGTGCAGGGGCCAAAGTAAAATTATAAAATGGGGACATCTCATACCTAATATTACAGCTGGGGAAATTTACTCTTGCTCCTTGACTAAGATCACAACATGTCGGGAAATTCGAGATACAATCTCGAAGGCAGGTATTGCATTGACCGCTCGAAAGATCAGGGGTGCACTGCGCCAGAGTGTACAATGTCTGAAATCCTGTGAAATTAGCTTGTTTGGTAGCAAATTTTTTACCAGAGAGACCATTTGCTGCTTCTGTTGCTAATTCATTCAAGGTAGCCGCCAACACAGTTCTGAATCTATCAGGTTGATCAGTGATATTCTGGACGTTAAGCAAGATGATAGGTGCATTTTGTTCAGACCAGGAGAATATGGATATATTTGAGTAACCTAACATGCACTCATCGTACCAGATAACTGCTGCTTTTTCCATGGGACAACGTTGTAAGATATTCGTAGTTGCGTTTCTTACACACTCTTCACAAACGTCAGAATTAACATCACCTCTACAAAGGAAAAGGCCCTCGATTCTGTCAGGAGAGCCACGACCCACCTCGTAGCTATAAAATCCATTGTTCCGGGTAGCATTTGAGGATAGAGCAAGGAAAAGCTGATTCAAGTTGGATCTATAGGTGCTATTGGGACTGTATGTAGTTGTATTTGGGCAGATATGGTCAAGATAATTCACAGAGCTACTGACCCTAAAGAGAAAGAGCAGGCAAAACAAGAAAAGATAACCAGAAATCTTGAAGGCTAACATGATGATGCTTAACAATCTTCCACCGAGTTAATTTTACAAAAAACAGAGGCATATAATAAGATTATAATATGTGAAAGGAGTGTGCTAATCAATGAAATGCAAGTTGGTATGGTTGCCGTTGCCGTTGTCCTTGTGGAAATTAAGAAAGAAGATAGAAAAATATATATATGAAGGAGATAGGAATCTACTATAATTGATTTTACATGTTATAGACACAATAAATGCCCGTTTGGTAAAATCTGATTATAATTCAACTCAAAGTCAAAAAATCAATATTAACCACATTTTTTATATAATCTACAACTTTTCAACCACACATTTCAAAAACTTCTATTACAATCTACTAAAAAAATTAATTTTAATTTTCATCAAACACTCTCTCAACTATTGACATTTGGTCAAGCTTTAGCTTGCCAAACTCGTCCATAAACAAGGAAAGATGAGTCTCCTTGGCTACATTTTTTTTTAAATAAATTAATACGTGAAAAGCCCGACTTGACCCACAAGGCCTGTAGAGTGGGGAGCCTCACCGCAACGCACTAATTGTCGTAGGCAAGCACGGGTTCTTCGTTGGTCAACTCACGCGGAATTGTACTAATAATATATATATATATATATATATATATATATCTTGAATATTTCTCAACGCCCTTTATGCTTGAAATATTGGAGTATGTGATGAGGCCGAAGAAGCTTCTAACCTCATATATTATTATTTATATTTTGATATGACAGATTTTACTGTCAAGAAAAGTCGGACAAATGAAGCTGTACTATTTAATATTTACAGATGAAAAAGTACGCATAAATGATAAATCTTGGACTTTTACACTAAAAAATAACTTAAAATATTTCAAGGAATCATAATAAGTTACGTGTTGCATCAAATGATTCGAATAAAATGTATGGATGACACGAAACAACAAAAAGAAAAATTTACTGTACCTTGTTTATAATTAACCCAAATTGAACGCACATATTACTTTCTTAATTACGAGTAGTTTACATTGAGTTATGATATTTAGTTTAGTTAGTGTTAAGCAACAGTCTAAATAGCATTTTAGTATCATGAATTGATGAATCATTTTAAAGTAGAGACATGAGTTCCTTTAATTGATAAATCTATTAAATTTTGTCATAGTAATTAGCACGAATCCAAACGAAGATCTACAATATAATAATTATATCAATATCCCTTCAATACCGGTAGCTCTCAACCCGCATCCCTCTGTTAAAATAACTAAGTATTTTCCCGCTGATTTGAGAAATGACCCAACTACGAGCTTGAAATTTGATTAACACGACAACGGAATTCATGTCAAAGGAGAAGTTCAATAATTCCCAAACCACAATTACTAAAAACCTATTTATTGATTACTCACATTTATTTGTCGCTTATTATAATATTAATTACTTGATTTTGCAAATACTCGAGTATGAAAAATATCCCTCATTATATCCATAAATATCTCCTGGTTCTCCTAATCAAGAAGCAGAAGCCTATGAAGAAAAGCAACAAGGACACAACAATTGGAACAATCAAGGCAATATTAAATTTTGATGAGATTTCCCCCATTTCCTGCATTGGTAACACACAAACAAGAAAAAAAAGAAAGACGGGAAAATTTTAACTAAACTATTCAAGAATTTTGAATAGTTACATAGCTTTTTTGATTTTTTTAAATAACACTTACACGTCTATCCCGTTTTCTTCTGCTGCTTAAGAATGAGAAGGTTACCTTCATTAGTTGAAGAATTTGGTAGCAAGAGACAAAGTGGAATTATAAAATGGGTATATCTCATACCTAATATTGCAACTGGGGGGAAAGAATTGTTGTTCCTTGTCTATTATCACAAGATGAAGGTGAATTCGAAATAAGCATGTACCACAATCATTGGTTGAAATATCAAGGATGCACTGCACCAGGTTGTACAGGCTCTGAAATGCTGCGATTTTCTTGCCAAAGTAAACATATGCTGCTTCTTAATTGATTTTGAGTGTGACTAATTCCTCTAAAACTATCTAATAGCTAAGCTAATAAACATCTAAGAGGCGTGTAAAAGTTCGTTTCTTAAAACATATTAAAGGGAGTGCTATTTGTGTCATTTGCCCATTGCTGGCTATTTGAATGATTTTGCCCAAGTGGCATCCATTTATTGGCGGCTTGGCATGCACAGGGATTGTGCTAGTTGAGGTCCTATCTGAACCGTTAGATTCAATCAAGGGCTGAGATTTATTCTTAGAATCTATACCATCCCTTGGGTGGCTTTAGTCATATGACTTTTGGGGCTCATTCTAGGCGATACGGTTTCTCTCTCCTTGGCTCCTCTTTCGTTCTTTTCATATTGAAAATCTCTCCCTTTCTGGTCTTTGAGTTTTCTGTAATTGATCCAATGGGGGGTGTGTTGTGTTTATGCACATTTAGGCCTCAAAGAGTGGCTAATTTGTGTAGGTTAACTCCATATAGTTTTGGTTGGTTTTCTCTTGGGTCATTTACTTGTTTTATGAGATCTGATAGAATAGTGACTAAAACTTGGTCCGAGTGGTTCTTCGTGTAATCTTGCTCTCTTGGAAGGTAGAATATTGCACTAGTGGAACGGGCTATCCCTGAGCACCCAGATTAGGTTTATTGGCTGAATTGGGTCAACATTTCATAGTGTTCATCTTTAAAGTTTTATTGTGTGTGATGTTTAATATTTTGGTTTAAAACTAGAAATCAACCATAAATCCCAACAAACTTGATATCAGAGCATTTAAGGTCTTTGGGTTTCGCGTTTTTCAGGGAGTGTTCTTCATTTGGGCACACTGTTTTTCGTATTTGCACAGATCTTTAATGATCTAAACGAACAACCTATTTTTTTGGTATCTTGGTTTCAACTCTGATAAATCTTGGCAATACTCCACGTACCGATTTTCTTTTATTTTTGAGTAAGGAAGAAGGTCTAATTGAAAGCTCTAACCGTTGGCTTGTTTAAGGGCACTATATCAATAATACTGTCTTTAAACAATATTGGTAAGATCTTTCTGAATCACCATTTCCAAATTCGATTCGATACCATTTTCTGTATGAGATAAATGCATGCTGGGATATCTGATTGAACTGATATATGTGAATATACACTATCAAATATTTGTCTTACTCTGTTTCAATTTCTGGATAATGTGACCCTGGTTTTATTAAACTTATTATCTCAAAATCTTTTTTACAAAACTTTTTCTACAATGTCCATGAGATGCATGAAATTGCCTACAGTTCCATAATTTTGCATTTATCTGATAACATTGTTAGACAATTTGATGATGCCAAAATTGTAAGAACTTTGTGGACTGCTTTAGATGCCTTATTCTTAACAAAGACCCTTCCTAACAAGATATCTGTTAGAAAAACTCTTTAGTTTTAAAATGGACCCGAGAAAGGATTTGAAAGTAAACTTGAGTGATGTTAGTATAATTGTCAAAAGTTTAGCACACAATGACAAAAAATTTGAAGATGAGGACCTAGTTATATTACTGATCTAATTGCTTGAATCTTATAAAGATGTCAAGAATGTTATAAAGTACGCTAGGGACACACTAACACAAGCAATTGTGATATATGCATTGAGGTTAAGAGAGTTAGATGTAAGGAGACAAAACAAAACCAACTCAAGAGAAGAAAGCCTATTTGTGAGGGAAAGAACTGAAAAGAAAGAATTTAACTTCTAGAATAAGAAGGAAATGGGGAAATGATCTAAATCCAAAGATAGAAGCAATAAGAATTGTTATAACCGTGGGAAGTTGGGACATTTCAAGAGAGATTGATTTGATTGGAAAAAGAAACAGAAAGGTCTGAACAATAATGATCTAATTAATGCTGCCATAGTATCTGAACTAGATAGTCTGCGTGTACTAAATGTCTCAAATGAAGAGCCTAATAAAGACTAAATTCTAGACACTGGATGCACATTTCATATGTGCCCTGAAACGTCAAGGTTTTATAATTACAAGGAAATAGAACCAGGAAAGGTGTATAAGGGAAATAATAATTCTCAAATTGCGATTGGAACTGGTGCATTGCCATCAAAATGTTTGATGGCATTCTTAAGCCAATAGAGAATGTGAGATATGTCCCAAATTTGAAAATGAACCTTATTTCATTAGAGATCCTTGAAGATGAGGGATATACCTTTAAATTTGATAATAAAATTTTGAGAATTATGGCGGGTTCTTTAATTGTAATGAAAGACCTAAAACAAATGGTCTATACTATCTTGAAGGTAAAATAGTTACAACACGTACTGACCATAAATAAAAATAAATCTAAACTTTGGCACAATAGAATCAATTATATTAGAAATAAAGGGTTAAAATATTTAAGTAACCAAAAATTACTTAGAAAAGATGATATTGAAACAGTGGACTTTTGTGAGACTTGTGTGTTGGGTAAGTCCCACAAGATAAGTTTTGAGTCTAGCTCACAGAGAATCAATAGACCCTTCGACTATGTACATGCTCATTTATGGGGTCCTGAGAAAAATTCCACAATTAATAGAAGCAAATATTTTTTTATCCCTTGTAGATGATATTCTATAAAGGTTTGGATTTACCCTCTAAAGGATAAATCAGAAACTTTTCAGAAGTTTAGAACTTGGCTCAAGGTTGTTGAGAATCGGTTAGAGAAAAAATTGAAAACACTAAGAATTGATAATGGGGTTGGGTTTTTGTAATGTTGAATTCGACAATTTCTATAAACAGAAAGGGATAATGAGACATATGACTGTCAAACACACACCCCAACAAAATGGGGTTGCTGAGAGAATAAAATGACCATAATGGATAAAGTTAGATGTATGCTTATTAGCTCTGACTTGGCCAAAGGTTTTTAGGCTGAAGCTGCCTGTACAGTAGCCTACTTGATTAATAGGACTCCCTCTAGTAGTATAGGCTTCAAAACTCCATAAGAATTGTGGACAAGGGAGCCTCCAAACTTAACCCACATAAGAGTTGTTGGATGTGCAGCTTATGCACATCAGTCCAAAGAAAAGCTTGAACCTAAGGCCATCAAATGTGCGATGCTAGGCTACCCAGAAGGTATAAAAGAATACATTTTATGGGATTTAGGTGTCCCAGGCATCAAGATCATTAACAATAGA